AAAAAGAATATAAAGAAGGGAAAGAGGATGTGGAGAAGAATAATTCGGTTGGAAAAAGAGGGGAAAAAGGTGAAAAAAAGAAAGGTATTCGACTAGGGTTTTTAGGTTTAGTTATAGGTCGGACCGGGGCAGGCTATTTTAGCAAATCCCGAGCCCGGCTTGAATTTATTGCAGGCCGGGCTTTTTGGCCCAAGGTTAAGCCTGCGGGCCTATATAGGTGTTCAAGCCCATCCGGGGGCCAGGCCGACCCATGAATAGGTCTAGTCATCAAGGGGGTGCTTGGTTCGTGGTTTTGAAAAGGAGTGGTATGGTTCCTAAGCCAAACCGATCTCTTCTTTGAATATGACAAATTTTTTAACCATGATATTTGATCATTGATTGAATGATTCATGTGTACATGTGTTTTCACTATTTGCTTTGATTGTACTATTGTCTTAAAAGAGAGACATTATAATTGGAATCATATTGGTGTGGGGCATACCTTGCTTGCATTGGTGTACCATGTTCCTTAGTTGAGAAAGCTTTCTATAAAAAGTCTTTGTTCAAAAAAAAAAAGCAGTTTCATTGGTTGTGGAACCATGAATTGATGGTTCCAAAACTAACAACTGTATTCAAATCACATAGATGACATTGGTTATGTCCATGAAATAGCTAGATAAATCATGATACAATCATAAACCAAACACCCCCTAATAGACAGGTTTAATTGTTTCAACAGTCATTGCTAGGGGTGTTCAGTCCAGTCTGGTTTGGAGTTGGAGAACATCTCAAGCCGAACTAGTAAATTGTGGTATAAAAATTTCTCAGTCCAGTCATTGCTATGGGTTGAGCCATATAGGTCAAGGATCTAAATGATAGTGTTGAACTTGGGTACTAACTACTACTCCATTTGGAGTCTAGGCCTCTGTTTGGTATCACTTATTTTAAGCATTTATTCAAAATTTCTAATTAGTACTTAAAATAAGTTGTAGGACCCCATAATAAGTGAAAATTAAGTAATTATTTATATTTGACGAAAAAACTGAAAGTAAGTAATTATTTTTGAAATAAGTGCTTAAAAGATAAATAGCTTTGGGCCAGCTTTCTTTTAAATGCTTGTAAAATAAGTGTTTTTTAGTGTGACAAAATTGCCCTAAAAAAATCTCCGAATTCCTAATATCGCCCCATTATCGTCTTCTCCATTATTGCATTATGGCTGCGATGGTGAAACAAAAAGGTGGCGTGGAGGATTTCATGGTTTAATTATGTGAAATCCCCCCACCCTCTTTTAGTTCTCATCGTTTTTTGGGGTGTGATTTTTAGTATGGTAGGTTCTATTTGGGAAAGAGGCAAACCACAAAGCCGGTGGCAGTCTCTTCGTTGGTGAGTTCTAAATCCGCTTTTCTTATTTTCCCTATTTGTTTACAAATATATGGTCAATTATGTATTATTTATATCAATGGTTTTTTTATGTTAAAATCTGAATTATACAAGTAAATTTTGTGGTTAAAATGCTAATAGTTGTTTATAATTTTAGTTTATATATTTTTTTGATTAATCACAAAAATCATTATTTGTTATTATCGAAATATTGTATCCAAATTTGATTTGGTGCTTGAAAAATAATGATAATAACAGTAATATTAAACTAGTAAGTTGTTGTTGTTATTATTACATGATATTATTTTTCCCATTACTTATTGTATTTTCTTAAATAAATTTAAATATTTAATAGTGTCATGTGTGTGGTACATGGGCCCATGTGCATGGTGGGGTTATAATTGTCATTTTCATCAAAATGAAACAACACACCCACACACACATACATACATACGTAAGTACATACGTACATACATAATTAATATATATATTTTTTAAGTTAGGGTTATAGTTGTCATTTTCACAAAAATAAGTACTTATAATAAGTGTAAGTGATTTGGGAAAGGACCTCGAAACATTAATAAGTACTTAGGCCAAGTTTGCAAATGCTTAAATACATCTGGTTATTTGAATAATCACTTATTTTGGGTTGGAACCACACTAATAAGCACTTATTGGTTTTTGGAAAATAAACCCGAAATAAGTGCTTATTGTGTAGAAGCCCAAAATTCAGGCTTTACTTTTTAAGTTTCTATTTAATGAGCGCTTATTTCCTTTCTGGCCTATCTTGGCCTGCCACATCATTTTGAAAAATACCCATACTACCTCTCTTTGAAACAAGTACTTATCACCAAATGCTTATGATCACTTAATAGAATAAGCACTTATCCATATGCATTTACTCAATAAGTACTTATCTTTCAAATAAGCACTCTCAAACATGGCCCTGTTCAAGTAAGTATTTGTTTTTCAAACCGTTTATTCGCCAAACATTACATAAGATTGTAAGGAGGGAAAGGTGTACCTCTGACTCTTGTGTGTTGCAATGCATTGGATCATTGCTGTGCCATGACATAAGTAACATAGCAAAGCCGTTTTTCAACAAAGGCCTAATTGATTCATAATTAGAATCGGAATCAAAATCCATCAAAACCAGAATAATGATGGATTCTCATTGTAAGGAGGGAGAGGGAATGGCCATTCACAACCATATTGAGAATATCTTCCACTGATAACTTCAAGAGGTGTTCCCAATACACACTAAGATGTGCGTATGGGGTGCAGATGTGATCTCACCATTCCACAAATGGGAAATGCCATTCCACATAAAACGGAAATGGGATTTTGATTCAGTTCAACCAAACCATTCGATATCAATTCTGATTGTCGTTTGTAGACTCTATTATTGGGAATCAAACAGACCCTAAGTAATTATCTTCAATTTCATTAACAATCAAAACTTGTATGATTTTGTTGACTTCAGTGGATGACGTGGTGTTGATGTGGAAAGGGTATAATAATTTTCATATCAAGATGATGGAAAAACTTTGGCTGTTGTGAATATTTTTGGGAATGCCACTTTATAATAGAGTGGGGTAAAATAGTAATTGCCCCTATTTCCTTTTAAGGGTTTTTACCGCTCGGTCCATATCTCAAATTCTAGTTTTATTGTATAGTTAGGGGTAGGTGCCAGCTCAGAATTGATGCTAATTCACAGCCAGGTATGGGTGTTATAGGTGAAGTTGTTCATAAATTTGAATTGTTGTAGGTCTACAGTTTAAATTTGAATTATGAGGTGGGTTGAAGTCTAAAAATCCCTTCCTTTTAACCATAAACGTAGAAATGATCATAAATTGGCGAACATGTCTAATCTTAAAACCATGGTCTTTAAAACCGACCCGGAGACCAACCTGGTCAGGGGTCCACTTCCCGGTTCAACTCGAATGGTCGGCCTATTCTGACAAAAAAAATTAAAAAAAAAAAAGAACGGTCAAAACCGTTTGAATGATTAACCACCTGGTTCAGTGGTTTGCTGACCAAAATCAACTTTCTTTTTTTTAAGAAAACCGGGTTTTGGGGGAAAACGGAACTAATCACCTAACCGATTCATGGTTTTTCTGGTCCAACCGTTCGATCCGATCCGGTTTTGAAAACAATGATTAAACCACGAGTAGCTTCCAACAACCAAAGTTAACTCGACGATAAGCATTTAAACTGTTGAGTTAGTGTTTTGAGTAGCTTCCAAATCCTAGCTTTTTGATAGTTTATTGGGCCGACCACTCAGCTTAAACCATGAGACTGGGGCAAAGTGTTGGTTACTTTAGCTTAGCTGTTTTCACGCGGTGGCCTTTGCCTTTTGCCTCTGCGAGGTGGGCCATGTTTAGACCTGTTCATGGGCCGGGTGGCCCGACGGGACGGCCCGGCCCCCAGACGGGCTTGAACATGTTTATAGGCCTGCGGGCTTAAACTCGGGCCAAAAAGCCCAGCCCGCAATAAATTCGAGCCAGGCTCGGATTTTGTCAAAATAGCCCGACCCGACCTAAAATTAGACTTAAAAAGGGTTATGTGATTATGTCCATTTGAATAATTTTTTTTTATTTAAGAATGTAAAGCTGTGTTTTAAAACATAAAAGAAAGGGAAAAAACCATCTTGTAGGCCCATTGTTCATTTAAATAGGAAAAAAAACCATCTGAATTATAATTTTTTTTATTAGATCGGGCTTCGGGCTTTTTATCAAGGTCGGGCTTGGGCTCGGGCCTAGCGTATTTCTATTAATGATGAGTAAAAGCCCGGCCAGGCCCGGCCCATGAACAGGTCTAGCCACGTCCAGATTTGTACTTATAAGCAAAATACTTATATTTACTTATATGCTATTTTTTATTTATAAATATATTTTTATAAATTTATTATATTATTTATTTTTTATAAAAAATATGTATATATGATGCAAATAATTAAAAATATATTTTTTTATTTTTACTTTATTTAAATTAGTATTTTTATTTTTTCTTATTAATTTATGAATTTTGGAAGAAAATACATCGAATTAGATCAGATCTGAATATCCAATTTATTAATAAGATGTAAATTTAAATCAAATGCTATCAGATTAGACATGAACAATATTAGATCGGATTCGAATATACCCTAATTCGAATCCAATCGAATTCATTTGCATCCCTACCCGAAGAGCCCAAAAGCTCAATGATATCGACTGAATCCAAGCTTCAGCCATCGGTCCATGAGCCCACGCAAACCCGGACAAAGATACATTGCATCAGCTGCTGCGCGGAATAGCGAGGTCAACGGAATTCTATGATATCGGTTTGGAATGGTTACACAATGAATCTCATGAAATTGACCCGGGCCAGATATCCGATTGGACCAGACTGAAACAACCGGCCTGTGGGGGACTTTTGTGGGCTGGGCTGTCAACCACTAGCTACTAGTTAGTAGCTACTCACACTCGTTTCTTATTTCACAAGATGTTAAAAAAAAAAAAAGAAAAAGAAAGAAAGAAACGAAGGAAATTTAGAAATTAGTAACCACTAACCAGTAACAGTAAGGCAAGGCTACGTTTGGTTTGACGGAAAAAAGTAGAGAAATAGATAATAACTACTAATGAATTTTTTAGAGGTCTTATTATTAGTCTCCAGAGTAAAACGTTTTCAAAACCCTCGCTCGCCAAACCTTCTTGTTTCCCTCTCTGTCTTTCTCTCTCTGTTTCGGCCATTTTCGCGGTATTTTTTTTGAGGGATGCAAAGCTGCGCGAACGCTTTGTTTCGACCTCAAAGATCTTTTTGTTGGTTCCGTCTCCTGCTCTCATCTCGTTCAATAGTCGTCTGAGGGTTTATTTTCTTGTTTCTAACTATTATCTTCCCCGTTTCTTCTATCCCCTTTTACTCCGGACGGAGATGAACTCCGGTTCGCGGCTCGACGGTGGAACACAAATTTTATCTGCTCGTGTCCGAAAAACCATCCAATCCATAAAAGAAATCGTCCAGAATCATTCCGACGCTGATATTTATGTGATGCTCAAGGAGAGTAACATGGATCCTAACGAGACGGCGCAGAAATTATTAAATCAAGGTGTGCTTATATATTCTAGGAATCTTTAGTTCGGTTTTGTTGTTCTTATTCTTTTTGTTTTTTTCTTTTCCTTTTATCTATTAATATCCCGTGTTTGGTGGATGGGTTTTACTTGGTAGAAGCCTCATTTAACCTACGAGATTAGTTTAGGGATTGCTTGCTAGTTATTGCTATTTTAAGCGATTCTGGTTCTGCTTATTTTCCTTTTTTTTTCGTGGTTTAAGTTTCAACTTGAACTGAAGTTTGTCTGTTTTTCTTTTATTCAATGCACCCTGTGGGTGTTTAGGATTTGTAGCACCCATGTAAGACTTTGTTTGCGGACTGGTTAATGCACTGTATATATATATATATATATTTTGAATTGGTCTATCACTAATTTCACTGGTCCTTGGTGCTTTCGAGGCAGATTTTTCATAATGCCCATAAGGTTTGATTGGTGTAGACTATTTTTCGACTATGTTGCTGTAAGCAGGGTAAAGGCTAAAGGTTTGATTGGTGTAGACTATTTTTCGACTATGTTGCTGTAAGCAGGGTAAAGGCTAAAGGCGGAGGCGAGGCTGTTGTGCGTGGAGAGATGAGGCATAGACCCCATTTCCCAACTTCCAAGGCGGGAGCCCAAAAAAACACAACTATAATACAAAAAGAATATTAGACACTAAAAACAAAAAATTATCTAGTTCCTAATATAGTCGTATACCTTAGGTAGTGGTCACAGGTTTGACTTCTGCCAGCTTAACTAAAGTATTAACCATGTTACAAAGTCAACCAAAGCTACAACAAAAAGAAAACTGAACCTGTACACAAAGAAACATATTTTCAAACTAAGTATCTCTTGTGCACCAATTCAATTTATTGGAGCCCCAAAAAGTTCAAGCAAAATGTATATCACAAACTGAAAAGAAATATCTAAACTACAAATAGTCACATTAAAAAATTTGATGAATGAATAAGCAATAATTTCAGTCTCGTCATATATAGATAGATAGACTATATGCATGCACATATTCTATGTATCTTTAAAAGGGAAACTCTGCTGGCAATATAGGGAAAACTTTCTTTTATAATAGGTTTAGGGGCAGTTTGATAACAAATGAAATGGGTGAAATGAATGATTTATTGCTTTGCCTTTTAGTGGACAAAACAGTCACATATTAAAAATACTTAGGAGTATACTTATCGACCCAATATACCATTCAGCCATTAGGATCTCACTGACAACCTATTGAATAACTTATTTACTGATAGATAGAGAAATAAGCGATTAAGTTCAGCCACTTCAGTTGTTACCAAACCAGTGGCCCTTAGATTGAGGCTTCTATGCTCCTAGTAAATGACCAGAAAAGTAGGAAATATTTTTTTCCTAATATTAAGGGATACAGATCAATGATAAGCCCAGTGTTTTCTTTAACCTGCATCAGGGGGTTTCATCCAACTTTTGACGGTAGTATTCTACACTGTTTTTTAATCTTATCGACGTGAAGTTTGAGATAAGTAAGATCACTTAACTATGCTTTTCCTGATCAGTAACTAAAAATTTTATTAATAGCGTAAACAATGTTGAAAGTAGAGAATTTTACATTTCCATATTTTCCAATACAAAAGAGCCTGCACATTGCTGCTCACCACTCCCCCTTAGATTGAGGCTTCCATGCTATTAGTAAATGACTGAAAAAATAGGAAAATACCTTCTTTTTTTTCTTTGATATTAAGAGACACAGATTAAAGACAAGCCCATCTTTATCTTTGACCTGCACCTGGTGGTTTCTTCATCCTACTTGCAAGGGTAATTTTCTACATTGTTTTTAGTGTGAATTTTGAAATAAGTAAGATCATTGAACTGTTATTTTTGGTTTGGTCATTAACTAAAAAATTAATTGATAGTGTGAACTGTGAACCATGTAGAAGTATTTACAGCACCGAACTGAACATTTCCATATTTTCCTTGTAAAAGAGCCACCACATTGTTGCTCACTCCTCGGCTCAAATGGTTAAAATGAAGCCAAGACATGTATTGTTTTAGCTTGAGGTATATCTAGCTCATTTAAGTGTTTATATCCTTAATAAAGATGTTTTTTTTTGTTAACTTTCTTGGATGAGAGTTTAACTTTCTAAATAATATATAAGAAGCAGCCTTTCAGAGTTATATTTCATAGTTCAATATATAATATCTTGTGTTTCAGTACTACATGTTGTTTTGCACTGTAACCACCAAAAATACTTGAGGCGTTTTTACTAAGTTCGACATGTAAACTGAACTTGGTCCAGCATTCTTACTTCGTTCACTGTTCATGTCTTCTTGCTGGTGGCTGTGCTATGTGAAGCCATTTGCATTGTGATTTTTTGTACGGTATTATTTTAATCTTTCTAGCATATTGATATTATATGACTTTATGTTTTTTTCTTTAGATCCATTTCATGAGGTGAAGAGGAAAAGGGACAAGAAGAAAGAGGTATGCCATGTATACATTGTTGTGGCCTTATGAAATAAACATTTAAGTTCAAGCATGGAGAACCAAATTCATATTGAGCTAGCTTCTAACATATGTTTTTCTATCACCTCCATTTTTTAGTCATTCTCTGAAAAATGTTCTTCAATGAAATTCTATCTTTACTATGATTTGGAAAAGATTGAGAAGATGTTTTATGATAATTGTGTTTGATGTCTTGGGAGTTGGGATTAGATAGAACCTTTGGCACAATTCTACTTCAGATAAGATAGCCCAGTGCATTATCCATGTATGCATTATCTCTAGTGGATTAGCAGAATCATTATGGTTGCATTTACTTATATGTTTCATTCACAACATTCAGTGTAAACATACAGTTCGTAAGTCTCCTAGAAATTACTAAGAGGCAAAAATGTGCAAAAATGTAATATGTACAGAATATTTTTTCTTGATCAGCTATGTACAGAATACTTTTTAACCAAGGTCTTATTCATACAAATATTGTAACAGAAATACATACCTACTTGGATCCATCTTTTAAACTCTTCTACAAGTTTGCTAAGGATTTTAATTATTGGTAGGGACTTCACTTTAGTTTTCTATTTGACTTATTAACATGCCTATTACCCATTGCCCCAGAATATAAATTACAGAGGGTCTATAGATCCTAAAAGACAGTCTGAGCATTTAGGACAAGCTGCAAAATCTCATACATTTTCAGACCGTAATGCTCGACGAGGAGGTTATGTCCGGAATGTGTTACCTGGTAAGGCAAAAGCATAAACAAGTTCAATACATGTTTTTAGAGGTGTTTTTATCTGCAGTTGTTTTGTATCTGAATCAATTATGGCTGTCGTGATTTTTGCTATCAAGCGACATGGTCTCCACACTCTTCTGTTGGTTGGTACATATGTGAATCTCTGAATCTCATAACTGTTTAGTCATCTTATTTCCATTTCTATGCTTGAGTTCTTTTAAAAAAGGCTATTACCCAATGCTTGAGTGTTTATACAAAAGATAAATATAATGGTTGTATATTTGCCAAAAGAGTAGCATATTTTGCATGTACTTTTTCATCTACAGTCTCTTTTTGTCACAAGTTAATTTTTTTCTCCACCAGAGGTGCTCCACTTTGTGGAGGGTGTTTTAGAATTTTCTCATGTTATGAAAATTTATTAGAGGTCATTTTTGTTCATTATTCTGTGTTCACCATCTGAAATTTTCTGTTTGTATCTACATGTGCACATGATACTTTTAATCAGGCTATTGAGTTTTTTGTTTTCATCTTGATCTTATTCATCCAGATTAATTATTGCATTCACTTGTATTTTTGGGTTTTAGGCTTATAGCTATAGTTATTGGGAAGCAATTATCTTTCACGTTTCAGAGTTTTCCAAATTATTCTGTTCATGCTATAAATAGCTGCATACATTACTTTGCAATATGTTTTCCTTCAAACCGTTCATGATGCACTCCCATATAAATAGACTACACATATTTTGGAAATGTTGCATGTGTTTTCTGTATCAACTGTTGGATTATCATTTTGGAAACATTTTGATATTCTTTTCTCTTGGCATGGGAACTAAATGATAAGATCTGGCTAGATGCAGGAATTAGCAGAGAGTTTCGTGTTGTGAGAGATAACAGAGTTGGTCAAAATTCAAGTAAGGAAATAAAACCTGCATCAGTTCAGTGTTCAACCTCTGCTAACGAGCAAACATTTTCTGATGTTTCTGAGAAAAGGTATTGTCCCCTCTCTACCCAACGGAAAGAATAAAGAAAAAAAAGAATTGGCATTCATTATTCAAAAATTAATAGTGTTTTGGTTGTGGTGATTGACTAATTCTCGGAGTGCACAGTTGTGAAATAGGTGCTTGGTTTTGGGGTGGTATATAAATATATATTTTAACATTTATGTTTATATATTTAATTCAACTAAGACTGTTCAAATTCCACAGTAGTTCTGAAATCTTATAGTTTGTGATATGATTGACACCTCAAATTATGAATTAAAGGGTTTTAACTTGAAGCTTAAGAGCTGATCTTTTTCTAAAAATTTCTTATGCTTATTCTTTGAATCTTTAAGGCTGATCCATGAACCACTGTCTAGGTTAAACAGTTCAGTGGTTCAACCGGAACCAGCTGGGTAACTGGATTATTACCAAGTAAACAGATTTTGCATTTGAATAGTTTAGGGGTGAAGTGGATTCAAGAATGTCTGAGTGGCAGGTTGACTGGTCTGACTGTGGGTTAAAAACACTGCTCCTAAGTGCCATATTTGTTGTTTATCTTCCACATTTGTTGACATTTGGCGTTTTGATGTATTAAAGGGTGGCAATGCTCTTCTTGGTTTGAAATGGTATCATTCTTCTGGAAGTATTTTTCCCATGTTTATGTAATGGATATGAAAATAGCTATTGTCAACCTATTGGTTGCATTCAAAATCTTTTTCTTAAAATTTCTGCTGATGGTCAGTTCTTATTTGCAGCTCAACAGGTAATCCATCTGATCAAAAGAACCTGGGTGCCAGAAACTCAGAGGTGCCGAAGTTACCTCAGACTTTAAATGGGTCTACTAATTCTGGTGCCAGACACCCTCGAGAGACTAATTCCAATGGCAGTCATAGGAAAGAGTTACCGGATGAGCCTCGGGTTACAGAACTGAACTCAGCTTTGCAGGTGCAAGGACAGAAGGCACACAATTCACAGCTATATTCTTCAACGTTAACATCAAGGAATTCTGTGGTTGGGGTTTATTCCTCCTCTTCAGACCCTGTTCATGTCCCATCACCTGATTCTAGGTCATCTATTAATGTTGGGGCTATCAAGCGTGAAGTTGGGGTGGTGGGTCGCAAACAATCTTCTGAAAATTCTGCTAAACAGGCATTGGTTCCAAGCGGTTCTTTCTCAAATTCACTCTTGGGGAAGGATGGTTCTACAACAGAGTCATTTCGACCCTCAATCACAAAGAGTGATCAACCCATTTCAACAGCTGTTCATGAATCTGTTAGCATGCCTGTTAGTAGATCTTTTCTGAACAACCAGTATCATGGCAAGCCACATCAACAACTTAACCATCAGAAAGGTAAAACCTTGTTGCTTAAAATTTCTTATGTTGACTAGGTCATGGGAAATTTGTATTGTTCTGAAATCTGACTTAAATATACTTGTCTAGCATGCTTATAGACAAATTTCTCCACTAACCACATATTTTGATTGGTAATCAACTCTGTTAGCCAGCATATTAGCCATTCTATCTTACCTGATTTTGATAATGGGTATGTTTATGGTTTGGACCCATCTGTCCCCAAAATCTTGGGATAATTGGCATGGGTATATGGACTCATCTTATATTGGACAATAACTATTTTACATTTTTTTAACTTAAGATTATATAAGCACATTAGTTAACACTTTAGATGCATTCTGTTATTAATATTTATAAAAGGAAATATTAGCAAGAAGGGAATGACAATTTTGAGTTTGTAATGTAATAATTAAAAACTCAAGATGTATTAGCGTATTTAAAATCCATGGCACATAAAGTGAAAGAGCCTTCCTGTTTTGAAATTGCATTCATCCAATTTTTTAACTTCTAATGGCAATATTTCTTTTAACAAAAATTAATTATGCTTAGTAGCAAGTTGGGCAGGCACCTGGTATTAATCATAAGGCTTTGTCCAATTGAGTGGATACTACTCAAATCATCAAATTTAGTACTGAAAAATGATGTGGATTTGGCGTATTCAACAGATCCCGCATCCCCATGTAATGGTGCATCTTAAATGGGTGCCTTGGGTAAAATAAGGGTTTGGTAATCATTGATGCATGTGCAAGTTCACATTATTTCTCAGTGGGTGAGGTATCTATTAATGGCAAGAAATCTGGTTTCCTAGTTAGCTTGTATGTTTATAAACCCTTTTTTGATAGCTGTTCATTGTGGACTTCTCTATTTAGCCTTCCCAATTACCCAATCTACCTAAGAACGTCGATAGCCACAGAAATTGTTGCAAAGATTAAAAAAAATTTTCTTTCGTCATGTGGATATGCAAAATATAACTAAAATCCTTGTGTGGCAATTAATGTTAAGATCAATCCATATTCATCAAGAAGATAAAAAGTGTTGACACGAATGCATAATAAATTCATTTTCTCTTTCATCCAAGTGATTCCTACAGTCCTTTTTCTTTTTCTGTTCAGCATATAGAGTTATGCAATATTTGTCTTTTTAGATGTTTCTTTTGTTCAGTGTTATGTGTTTGATCATAATAACTGTGATCAGGTAGTTCATGCCGGGTCCTACTCTTAATATTCTCTAGTACTTTTCTCAAAAGAAAACAAAACTCCTGTACTTTTGTTCACAATTTTCTTTTGTTGATTTGGACTTGACTCCTTGATACAGCTTCTCAGTCAAATATGGAGTGGAAACCAAAGTTGAGTCAGAAGTCCAACAATATCAGCCATGGAGTAATTGGACCGGTTGCAACCTCAACTCCTATGGATAATTCTTTGGATTTGAAATCAGAAGCTGCAGACTTGCAGGAAAAGATTTCAAAAGTGAAAATTTTTGAGAATCAGCATGTATTTATACCACAGCATCTTCGAGTTCCTGAGGCTGACCGCACTCAGCTGACCTTTGGCAGCTTTGCATCAGGATTTGACTCTACCAAGAGCCTTGCACCTGAATGTCAAGCAGTTGGGAGTGCAGAAGAATCAAAGGGCGAACCTTCTGCAAGGTTGGTCCTATTTGTTGGTGATAGCAACCATTTGATTATTTTGTTGAATATTATCTTAATGTTCTAGCTCTAGCAGCCATTTGATAATTTTATCTTTTACATATGGACTATTGTTTACCTGACAACTTGAATGGCATGGATGTCAGTGCATCGGCTTCAGCTCTGTCTGCCTCGAGTGAAGATGCTTCTGGTAGTAACCAGTTTGATTTGTTAGATGATAAAGTTAGAAATTCTGAATCCAATTCTCCAGCATCAGCTGTAGCTTCTGAAAATCCATTGCCTGAAAAAAGAGAGTCTTCAAGTCCCCAGAATTTGGAGAACTATGCAGATATTGGATTGGCTCGGAATGACAACCCACCATTCACTTCTGGGGAGCCACAGCAGCAGCAAGATCCTCCTGGTTTACCAAGTTTCTCAGTAAGTCTGGCCTCAAGTTGGGAAGGATGTTTGGTTTACCTCAAGCCCCTGATTCCATTGGGGTGGGCTGTCTTCTCAGGGGATTACCTTTTTTTGGCTTTTAAATATTTGTTATATTGCAAATTTGCAATATATACTATGATTTGTACTTTGCTTTCTTATCCCTGGTCTTTCTGAACTTTTGTCAGGCGTATGATCCCCAGACCGGCTATGATGTAGCATTTTTCAGACCCTCAATGGATGAAAATGTACAAGGACAGGGTTTATCCTCCCCCCAGGAGGTATGTTTATGCATCAGAAATTCTTGAATATTTTCATATATTTGTAAAATGGTCTTACAGTTTTATGAAAAAATTAACTAGCAATGCATGCAGATGTTTCCTATTTTAAGTTTCTCATATTTAACTTTATTCAATCATTAAATCCAGGACATTTAATGCATCTTATGATCTGCAGGCTTTGATCTCACACACAGCAAACAGTATCCCAGCATCCACAGTGGCAATGTTGCAACAGCCGGTAGCACAGCTGTATCCTCAAGTTCATGTCTCTCACTACCCAAATTTTGTGCCATTTCGCCAGTTCCTCTCTCCAGTATATGTACCACCAATGGCTGTGCCTGGTTATTCTAGTAACCCTTCCTATCCCCACCCATCAAATGGCAGCAACTACCTACTGATGCCAGGAGGTAGCTCACATCTCACTGCAGGGGGCCTCAAGTATGGAAATCAGCAGTATAAGTCCATACCTGTGGGCAGTCCTACAGGGTTTGGTAATTATACCAGTCTAACTGGATACACTATCAATGCTCCAGGAGCAATTGGTGGTGCAACAGGGCTTGAGGATTCAACCAGGATCAAGTTCAAAGAGGGCAATCTTTATGTTCCAAATCCTCAGGTAAAATCTACTCTGTTCCTGACTAGGGGATGTTAAGTTTGATGTTTTGGATATATCTACTGCAGGAGTCTTTGGATGATCGGAATCATGGTTTAAATTTTTGTGGACATATTTTTGGAGTTAAATTCTATCCAAATTTGGAGGCCACCTGTAGGAAGTCAAAATGGATTGATATCATATGTTTTTTTAACACATGGGAAAAATAAGCAGGAGATAAGATAGAGAAATTGGCGATGGAATTAGAGAATAAACAATAGAAAACTTAGTTTAGATAAGGCTAGGGAAAATATATATATATATTTTTAACTTTCGTAACGAAAGGATTAACAATCTGGAGCATGTTCATCCCTTGGTTGATTACAAAAGATGTCAGCTGCAAAGTTAGACCCTCTGTGAAGACAACTGAACCGTGTGCATTGTAGTGCTCTTACAGAATGATCCAAACACGTCTATATTCTTACCTATTGCTTTGGGTGCGCCTGTAGTTGATACCATAGGGACTGGAATGATGTTGCTTGTATTGCGCATGGTTTAAAGTATTGACACGCTCAATACTCAATTTTTGAATATCGAGCATGTTCCCACATTGATGGTCTTATACTACTGTTTGACACCTGGCACGCATTGAAATCTATAATTCCTATTATTTGAATTTTCAGTGGACCTGAAAACCAATAAGTATTGTACAATACGTATTGATACTTTGAACCATGGTATTGGGCTATTGGGTAAATGGACTATTTTGGGACATTTAGAACTCATGAAACCTTTTGCTGCTGGTGCAAAATGACAGGCCGAGACATCAGAAATCTGGATTCAGACCCCAAGGGAGATTCCTGGCATGCAATCATCTCCATTTTATAACATGCAAGGACAAGCACCTCATGCAGCATACTTGCCATCGCACACAGGACATGCTTCCTTCAATGCAGCAACGGCACAGTCAACTCATATGCAGTTCCCCGGTTTGTATCATCCCACTCCACAGCCAGCGGCGGTTGCCAATCCTCATCATATAGTCCCTGGCATAGGCAGTAATGTGGGTGTTGCTGCAGCATCACCTGGGGCTCAGGTTGGTGCGTATCAGCAACCTCAACTTGGTCACATTAATTGGACCACAAACTTCTGAAAGGAAATGGCTATTCAATCCCTTGTTAACAAGTGATCAAGGTTAGTTATAGTCCTATTTTTCTATGTGAAATTAAAAGGATCCATTGTCTTCTTTTTTTCTATTTAATGCAAGTTGTGTTTATTAAGCAATACCCTCTGTCGTATTCGTATAATATCCATTTTTACTCAAATCACATGCTTCCAACTTATCCGTGGGTGCGCCGATTGGATTGACTGTGGGCCTGTGGCCTTGAACACTGGTGGTTGGGTACCGTAAATGGCACATTTACCATGTATATTAATATTATTTTTTTTTGGCCCTTTCAGTTTACGGGACCGAGTCTAGGCTGCCTTTAGTTGTAGCCTGTAGGAAACAGATTAGTACATGATTGATTGGGTAGTCTTGGGAATGGGACTGTTCCAGTCCAGCGTCAGATTGGTCTTCATGCATGCTGAAGAAGTTTGTCTTTTTTTTTCACCCATGGTTTCTTTTTCTGTTAATTCGCTATAATTTTTTTAGGCTGATATGTTTGTCCTATTATTTTCATCCGTTTTTATATGTTATTATTATTTAATAATAAAAGGAGTGTCTCTGTTTAACTTGATTTTGTTGTGAGTTACAAAAGGAAATCAAAACTATCTGGCTTGAAAATAAATTGGTTCTTATAAAAGGAAAACAAATAGTTGTATGACAAACGTGTTGTTTAATTTTTTGGTTTTGGAAAATTCGCAATTAGTATCTTGTACTTTGGGTCTAGTGCCACTTTGGTTCCCTTAACTTTAAAATGTGACAACTTAATAACCAAAGTTTCAAACTGTGTCAACCTAGTACTTGTCGACTGTTGTTAACCAACTGTTATGTAGCATTTAAAAAGATGCAAATGCCTTTCGAGTGTTATCTAATTCTCTTTATCAACCATCCAAATGTTGATAAAAAATGAACAGTCCCAAATCCTTGCCTCTTCTATTCAAGAAAGTTGGGGTTGCCAGAATGTCTATTAAGACGTGACTCCAACTTTCTTGAATAGAATAGAAAGTATTTGTGACTGCTCACTTTTTATTAATGTTTGAATGGTTAATAAAGAGAACTAGATGACACTAGAAGGGCATTTGCATCTTTTCAAATGCCACCTAATGGTTGGTTAATGTACTAGTTAACAATAGGGACTAGATTGACACATTTTAAAAGTTTGGGTACTAAATTGTCGTGTTTTAAATTGCAGAGACCAAAGTGGCACTAGGCTCAAAGCACATGGTACTAATCGAGAATTTTCCCTTTTGGTTTTTTGGCAACAAACTACACCAAGGGGGGTGTTCTCCAACATGTTTTGTTTTAGAAAATAAAAACAGTTGTCACGTCAGTAAAAACAATATAATTTTGTTGATGTGGTATTTTCAAAAACAAAACCAACCCTTTTGTCAAACACCCCCTAAATAGATATTTATTCCAAAGTATGCTTTGTTTTGTGATAGATCATTCTGATGGTTTTAAAAAAAGGTAAATGTATTGTTTAAACTTGTTTTTGCTTTCTCAAAACAAGTTGAAAACACAAATCAAGAACTTGTTTTAAATTTTCACTTACATGTTTCAATATTTATTTTTTTGCCGATATGGCAATTTCCAAAACAAACGAAAAATGAAAATCATGTTGTTGAAGTGGAACGCCACCAAAGACATTCGTCCTGCTCGGGCCTCGGAGTGGATGGTTACTGAGACAGGGTCATGGCTCATGGGTTAATTGTTAAAGTGTTCAATCATCCATCCAATTCAAATCTCCATAACTCCTTTACATAAAAAAATGGCTTTAATGAACTTTTAAAGTTATTTTACATCAAAATTAACCTAATATATTAATACTCGTCATCGTATATTAACACATATAAATGGGAAAAGTTTGTCCAACAGAATAATTGGGTAATTTAATAACTATTTAGGTTGTGGTTCCTAATTTTGACAACATCCTACTATGTAATTGGGTAATTTAACCTAGCAGAGATTTTTCTTTTTTTTTTTGATTTACTGGCAAGTTCCGAATCACATCCCACTAATACTGTAAAATAGGTTGAGCTTTGTGGTTTCTCATCCTGGCAGCTCGTTTGGTCTGGTGAACGCTCCTTGAATGTTTTGTTGACCCAGAAAAAATTTCAATTTGTCCACACGGGCTTATTTGGCTATGGGTAAATAAATAACTGGACTAGTAAAATCTAGGGAAGAGGTCTATTACCATTTCTTTCTTCTATAATCTATTCTTTGTTTTCTGAGCCAATGAGAGGTTGCTTGAAAGTTGAAACCAGTCTTTTAAATAACAATGTTTGAACTTATCATGACATTGAGAATTGAAAAAAGTGATGTGTTTTGGCACAACATATATTGCAAAATAGGTGGCAACTTAAGTGATTGTGATTCGGTAAGTTCTTCGACTGATTATAGGGGAGACTTGAGATCCTATTTAGGGAGTTACTGGGTATGGGGGAGGGCTACATGAATTAAAAAAAAAAAAGGAAAAAGGTTTACCACACTTTCGAAACATGCAGGTGCCGCCGTTAGGTGACAAGCCGATGACCCGGTAATCAAGATGTTCACTGGTTATTGGAGGTGCAGGATAGCTAATTTCAAACACCTTAATTGACTTGGATTTGGACTATAATTATTGATAGGTTAAGCACGATTTCCCTATTAGGGTACATATTTATCCATACCCCGTGAGCCTTTGGAAGAGAGTGTGAAGTTGTTAATAAATTATTAGGAGTATATAGTAAAAGAAATCATCATAAAATATTGAGGATCAGAAATTGGCCTCCATTCTCCAAGCTTATTTTGTTAAATGCCCACTAAAACTTGTTTTGTAAGGCTCAGTTTGGAAAGAGTATAAATACGAAAATGTACAATGCAAATACATACAAAATAATACAGAATATAAGGTTTTGTACTCTACAAATTTGTATTTGTATTCTTTCCCTGTAGATGCATAAAGTCCTAAACCATCATCATCCAATTTGGGTTTTGGTGATCTAGGGGAATTGGGTGGTGAAGTGGCAATCTAAACCGAGCGCAGAATGGACTAAATGGGCCCATCACTCAATTCACTTGATTGCTTACAAAAAATAAGTTAAATAAAGGTGCACGCAGCATATATGGTAATGCAAATTAAGGCTCAATTTGGAAAGAGTAGAAATACAAATATGTACTGTGAAAATATAAAATACAAGGTTTTGCACTCTACAAAATTGTGTTTATATTCCTTCCAAACTGAGCCTAAATATTTTTTTTGGTATTGAATCGTAGGACTGTGTTCCCCATAAAGGCTCTAATTTTTTTTTTTTCTTTGGCATACCACAACACTTCAGCAACAGTCTAATAAATCTCCACAAAATCTGGTAGGACTTGAATCCACTACTCTGCTGGGACAACCCAGTTAACGTACCAACTGAGCCATCATTTAGTTGACAAATTAAATGATTTAATTTTTATGACTTCTATAAGAATAAGGACAAGTATCTGCTTTGCATGTGTGTCAGTAAATATTAATCATATATTACATATGATATTTATATTTAAATTTTATAACCTGCTAATGGCCTTTGCCAGGAAAATACATCCTCAAAGGACCTTCATTGAAAAGGCTTACACATGTGAAAAACACATAATGGGCCACACACCCTTTGTATGCTGAAATTCAATTCATTAAATGTAGAAATTGTCCTTAGATTTCAGTTGGCGAATGCTTATTTGTGAACCAAAACCAAGTGAGAGGAGGGTGCAGGTAAGGCCTATTGACCTTACCACAGAGAGCCTGCATCTACACGGATTTGACCCTGTGCTTCTAAGGGATACCAAATGACTATGGTTTTATTTGGCACCATTGCTATATCTACCTGAAACGTTTTGGATTGATAAATATAAATTGGTGAGACATGTATTGTCACATAACTTGTGAAAGCTATTTTAACTAGAAAAGATTCCAGCTGTAGAGCTATTCTGAACCATAAGAGCATCAAATAATAATTGTATCATTTATACACAAAACGTTTCAGGTAAAATCATCAATGATACCAAACAAGACCTTAGGTGATGTTTGTAATTAATGAATCGATGGTGATTCTTTCTCACCAATTATCTGGAAGATTGTTGTTTTGTATCATTTATGCCAAGCCGATTTTTGAGAATTTAGCTTTTTGGTGATCCCTAGAAAAGTCTGGCCTTTTTTTCTTGAAAATCACCAAAATTGACCAATCAAATAGAAATTTCAACGCCATTCCTCTAATGATGATATAGTATATGTTTGGCTCCGAAAAACTATTTATTGCTTTAAACATTTATTTGTACAATTTTATTTTAAACATTTCTTGTTTTTGTTGTTTGGTTGGACATTACTTTAAACTCTTTTTTTTTTTTTTTACTTTTCACCTTAGATCAACACCCATAAAAGTATGACGCATAAGTATTTCATCTCAAGAAATGTTGTGGCATTGGAGGAAATGGGAATTTGACATTTCCCCATATACTACATGCACAAAAATCAAAATGTTTTTAGTTTTTCGGTGTTTATTTGATAAATGATAAATGTGATGTTTGGCATCAATGTCGTTTTCTTGGAAAACGACACTATGTAGGCGTTACATAAAAGAAACTGGTGTTTCAAACAACACCCTCTTGTTTGGTACTATTTTTCTAAAAAACAAAATGTTGCTCCAAACCATGCCTTGGAAATAGAGAAAGTGTGGTCTGCATCAATGCCAAATTCAGGCGGTGTTCGAAAACCGCTTAAATCTCGTGGACAGGACCGGTCCTGTCCACACCCCAATTTCTCATCCACGGTAAAATCTCGTGGTTGGGGACCATCCACACTTGATTTTTGATCTCCTACTTCACACTTTCCCTAAAAAAGGCTACCTTATTGTCTATGTCACATTTTAATATTTTTGTCAATAAAATATTAATTATTTTATTTTTTAATTTTAATGTTTTATCAATAAAATTATATTTTAAATATATTTTTTAAATTTTAATTATTTTACTTTTGTTTTTATAAAATAATTAATATTTATTGGTTAATATTAATTCATTGATGCATTTTTCAATATATTTATCATATAAAATGCAAAAATTAGATATTTATGATTAACTATGTAGATCAAGGTTTTTGAACCGCTGTTGACCCGGACGATCGTATTGTTCAGCTCAGGAACCGTCCAAGCAAGTGGTTCCATTTTACCCCAAACCCGTTTTTTTGCTAAAAACCATTGAAAAAGTCAACAACCCGTTGACCTGAGTGATCAAACCATCAACCCGTTCAATGGTTTTTTATTGTTTTTTTATTTTTAATTATTTTTTTTTATTTTTTTATTTGTTTGTTAGAACGGACAGTTCATTTGAATTAGACGATTGGACCGTCGACCCATAAACCGATGGCCATAACGGTTCCATTTCCAAGTCATTTTTTAAAATGTTGGTGTAGATCATTCATAAAATGTAATGAGATACATGGAATAAAAAAAATGTGGTCTGATCCACACCATACTATAGAACGCCACTATAGGTGTGGACTAATCCAATCCACATAGTTTGTTCATAGTTCATAACAACTGTGGACTGTAGACTATGGTGTGGTGTGAATTGGTTCCTACCACAGGGTGGGGTGTGGACCACTAACTTTTCATCCACACTATAGAACACCCCAATGTTTTATAAGAAAAATGATGCATTATTATCGGCAATGCAACATGTAGCATCATCTTAGACATTGGATAATATAGATCAATATTAAAAGCATTTTTGCCTAATACCAAACAAAACCACTGATGTTTTCTTAGAAAGTGCCTATGTGCTAATGAAACAATGTTTCTTTCGATAAATGCCTACGAAACCGAACATCACGGTAGACCCGATTTAGCAGTGATTTTTCAAGAAATCATCCTTCGTACCAAACATCACCTTACTGAGAGACCATCTTAGCTGGATCATCTGAAAGGCCAAACTAAAATAAGGTCGAAATCGCAGAACATGATGCGGCATCGCCGAAAATGAAAGCCGGACATGCCTTGCTTTCGTCTACCATCCACTCACGAAATCCTACTCTCTCCAATTCCATCAGTTCCTTCTCTCCCCTGTTTCGTTCAAACAGTCTCTTCACTTACCCCTCTGCGTTGGGAGCCAAACGCGCTACCAGCAGCAGTACCAATTATAAACTCTCGAGGTCGAGGCTGATCGCCAACGTGTCTCCAACAATGGCGTCTGCTTACAAGCCTGAACAAGCTAGGGTTCCTCCTGCGCTTTCGTTGCCTGTCCCTCCTGTAACCAAGGCAAGACCTTTATCTTCTTCTTTCCATTCATTTTCTTCTCCAATCCAGAAAATATGCTATTATCTCAGGTTGTTAATGATTTTAGAAGTTGCTCCCCAAGAGAAAGTATTAACTGATGTAGAGATTAATTTTCGATTGTTGAGTTCAGTACTTCAATTGGACACGAAGAATTGGTGTTTGCTGTTACTTCAGATTGTGGCTTAAGTTGACTCTGCTACTCTTTTCTATAATCCAGATTAACCCGGGCTTTTGTTTTTTGTTTTCTAATAATAACTTTTTTAATTTTTTCAAAATTTACTTTAACTAGTTTGCTCGATGGTAAGCTGGGCAAGATCGCTCCATGGTGGTTATATGCCTTGTGGTGACTGGATAAGAAACAAAAGCAGATAGCAAGAAAGCCAAGAAAGAAAGAAGAGAGTGAACACTAGATTCGGCCAAATTGCCTATGTCGACGGGTATCAACTCGGAGCTTTTCTTCTTCACTATAAACAAGAGAACATACAACACTAAAATAACCTTAGCAGAACCTCACTCGTACATGACACCCAATACACCCAACACCATACTCCTCTCAACACACTGTATACAATGTGTATAATGAAAATGAAAATGAAATGGAATGAAATGAATGGAGGAGGGGACCCTTATTTATACTTGTAGAGAGGGGTATAAAGGGAATTTTGAAAAAAGAATTACAACCACATACTTAAGCGGTAAAATAGTCTTTTACCGCTAAGTAATAGAAATAGGTGGGCTCCTACCGGTGGCCCACCGATTGTTATATGGTGGGCTTAATAGGTAAGCCACCGTTTGTAATTTGGTGGGTTCGGTCAGTTTGTTTTACTAGCCCACCGAATCTATTTTAACATTCTCCCACTTGAAGACTATTTTCATAGTGAAAAACTTTCTCGAGAATAGCTGCCGATCATCTTTTGTTAAGTAGCTTTAAGTCCTAGAGAAGTTCTACACCAGATAAACTTCTCTCTCATCATAGGCTTTGTTAGTATATCAACAACATTATCATTGGTGTGAATATTTTGTAATGAGATCTACCCATCCTCAACTACTTCATGAACAAAGTGATATTGTACATTAATGTGTTTGGTTCAAGCATGAAAGACGGGATTTTGTGCTAAGTGTAATGCACTTTGACTGTCACAATGAATAGTCACAATTTCTTGCTTGATGTGGAGTTCTTCAAGCAACCTCTTTAGCCAAATATTTTCTTTGCATGCTTGTGTAGCTGACATATATTTTGCTTCTTTTGTAGATAAGGCCACTACAAATTGCAATTTTGATGCCAACTCATTGTGCCATTAGCTAAAGAAAACACTTAGCTAGTAATTGATTTTCTATTATCATGACCTCCTGCATAGTTTGCATCTACATAACCAACTAGCTTCAAGCTTTGGCCACTATAACAAATAGAGACTTTAGAAGTACTCTTCAAGCAACGAAGGATCATTTTTACCACACTCCAATGATATTTTCTTGGATTTTCCATGAACTTATTGACTGCTTCCTATGTTTGTGCAATGTTTGGTCTGGTGCACACCATGACAAACATAAGGCTCCCTACTGCTGATGAATATAGTATGTGGGGCATCTTTGTCTTCTTAGCTTCAGTGTTCGGGGATTGTTCTGAAGACAACTTACAACCAATAGGAAATGGGATACCGTCTGGTTTGATTTCTTGCATGTTGAAGCGGCACAAGATCTTTTGAACATAACTCTTCTGAGTTGTCCAGACTTTCCTGTTCTTTTTGTCCTTATATATTGTCATTCCAAGAATGTGATTAACTGCCTCCAGATCCTTCATGTCAAACTCCTTAATAAATGAGCTTTCAGTGTTGTGATACTTCCTTTATCAGTACCTGTAATTAGCATGTCATAGTAAAATGATGGAGTATGTGCCAAATCATGACTGAATTGATCACAACATTTGCAACGATGGCGTCGTTGACCATGGTATCTCCGATCAAGTGGTATGGCTTTCCTTGTAATTTTCCCTTTGCAATCACCATAGCTCCTTTATTGATCTTTAATTGGCCTTTTTCTCCAGAAAACTTGTAACCGTCCTCATCAAACTTTCCTAGTGACAAGAGACTCTTTTGCAGTTATGGAACATGTCGTACACTAGTGATTGTATGAGTGATGCCGTCAAACATAGTAATTATGACGTCTCTAACTCCTACTATTTTCAATGTGTTGTTGTCGCCCATGTAAATAGTCCTATCATCGCACGATTGGTATGCGTAGAACCAATCTTTCCACAACGCCATATGGGAAAGAAGCACCAGAATCCAATATCCAGTTATGCTTTAGATTTTCACATGAATCAACAGACAACACCTCACAATCTTCTGATGAATTACTTCCTTCTGCAATGTTTCCTTGGGAATTCCTTGAATTTGGATCTTGGTCAGAGTTGGGCCGATTTTGATATGCTTTGGTTGTCTATAATCTTTTCGAAGGTGACATTTCGAAGGTGACATTTCTGATGAATTACTTCCTTCTGCAATGTTTCCTTGGGAATTCCTTGAATTTGGATCTTGGTCAGAGTTGGGCCGATTTTGATATGCTTTGGTTGTCTATAATCTTTTCGAAGGTGACATTTCTTACCGCAATTCCAACACTTGAGTCCTTTCCTTTTGCCTTTCGACTTGAATCTCGTTTGATTTCTGCTAGAGCTGCTTCTCTCATTGGATCTACCTTGTACCATCATTTCATCACCTGAAGAATTCTCATCAACTTTTCTACGAGATTCTTTTGTAAGCAACATAAAAATAGTAGATTCTAATGACAGATCTTTGGTATTGCTCAAATCCATTATCAAACTATCCCAAGAATCAGGCATGAAGCAAAGCAAAAGAGCAACCTTTTCTTCATCGTCAATACATACCTCAATAGCTGCTAATTTGCTTACTAGAGTGTTGAACTCATTCAAGTACAAATGTTGGCAGAACACAAGAATAGAACCGTGAAGCTCTGATACCAATTGTTGGAAATGGTGCAATGGATGATATAATCTGTATGTGCATAGAAAGAAACAAAAGCAGATAGCAAGAAAGCCAAAGAAAGAAGAGAGAGAGAACACTAGATTTAAGGTAGTTTGGCCAAATTGCCTACGTCCACGGACAACAACTCAGAGCTTTTCTTCTTCACTATAAATAAGAGAAAATACAACACTAAAATAACCTCATTAGAACCTCACTTGTACCCGACACCCGATACACCCAACACACCACACCTCTCAACACACTGTATACAATGTATACAATGAAAATGAAATGGGATGAAATGAACGGAGGAGAGGACCCCTATTTATACGTGTAGAGAGGGGTATAAAGGGAATTTTGAAAAATAATTACAACCACATACTTAAGCGGTAAAATAGTCTTCACCGCTAAGTAATAGAAATAGGTGGGCTTCTACCGGTGAGCCACTGATTGTGATATGGTGGGCTTAGTCAGTGAGCCACTGTTTGTAATTTGGTGGGTTCGTTCAGTTTGTTTTACTGGCCCACCGAATCTATTTTAACAATATTCTTTATCGATACACAGAAATAGGTAAGTTCCTGTTTAAACTACCTCAATGAAGCTTAAAAATAAGGCTCTTTTTTTCTGATTATTTCTTTTGTCAATTTCAGTTCAAGATTGCTCTTTGTCAACTGCAAGTGACTGCTGATAAGGAGAGGAACATTGCTCATGCTCGCAAAGCAATTGAGGAGGCAGCAGAAAAGGGTGCTCAGCTTGTTCTCTTGCCTGTATGTTCAAAATGTCTGTATACATCATTCAATTTAAAATTTTTATTCTTATTTGAAAATGTGAGAAATCAAATTCCTCTATTAAACACTACCTAAGTTAATTTGGTTCAATTCGGAGGATTTTTTCCCATGGTTTTGTGGTTGTAGAGAAATATGATTGGAAGAAGCATTGAAATCAATACGTAAATGAAGTAGACTATCTCACATATCCAAAGCAGAAGAAAAAAAAAAAAGAGAAAAGAAAAGCTAGATATCATCAGTACAATATCAAGAGTAAACCAAAAATTTGTTTGAAAATAAGATTTCTCCAATCTCCACGTCTTCAAATTCCAGATGGGCCATCAATAATCCAAAATAAGGTTTCCAAATCAGCAAACAGCTTCTTGTTGTCCTGCTTCTTACCATAAAAAAATATTGTATTCCCTCCTCTCCAAATTCCTCAACAGTATGCAAATCAGAAAATTTTGCTGTGTTACTACCTGCAAGAGATGGCCATGTAGAAAGGATTTTATGACGATGGACATGCCTGAAGACCGATTTTCTACAAAGAAAAATACCAAATGAAATAATCAATTCTTTGAGATATAAATAATTGTGGCATCTCCACATCTTCTTTACTCTTATAGTTATTGCACATGAAGCAAAGACTTATCATCCTGAAACCTGTACCCTTCATATGATCAATGATAAAAATGTTGTCAAGAGTAGGCAGTGCCAAGTGAAGGCCTCTGTCCTTAAGGTATGAGATTGTCCCAAATTCCTTCGGCCTAAGGAAATACACCAAACAATTTGATCACTTCCAATCTTCAAAACGTTGGCTGTTGTAAAATTAATAGTAGATAACTATGAAAGGGAGAAGCAACTACACATAGAGTAGACAATATTTAACATGGTTTGACAATGGCTCTCTATGTCCATGAATGAAGCACCTTGCTAGGAATTGACCATAATGGCATAATCCTAATTGGATTACAGCCTTAACTTCTGCTAGTTTCTGAAGCAGAAACTAAGAGTGTGCATTATTGCATTGCCACTATCTTTGGTATATAACTTGTTGGGTATGTCTTATCATGTATCAAGAAACCTTATTGTGTGATGAAAAAGTTACTTGTTTCATATTCCATAATTTGTTTAATGTCAGGAAATATGGAATGGTCCATATTCAAATGATAGCTTTCCAATATATGCGGAAGATATTGATACTGGAGGTGATGCATCTCCTTCAACTGCAATGTTATCTGAGGTAGCTCACCGTCTCCAGATCACAATAGTTGGTGGCTCCATACCAGAACGTTCTGGCGATCGTTTATACAATACTTGCTGTGTTTTTGGCACGGATGGGAAACTGAAGGCTAAACACAGAAAGGTATTTGTCCACACATCCTTTCCATGTGCTAGATAACCATATAATTTAGCATGTTCCTTTTTTTGTTCTCTCCATCATCACATTATCATGGAAAATTGTTTTTGTTATTAAGGTTGGTTTAACAAAAATTTCTGACTCAAAGTATCTCTGTAATTACAGATCCATCTTTTTGACATTGATATCCCAGGGAAGATTACATTTAAGGAATCAAACACTCTCACAGCAGGAGAGAACCCTACCATCGTGGACACAGGTTTGATGTGCTTATTTGCATTTGGACCTTCTTTGTTAGGCTTTGTCTCAATGCCTATATTCTTCTTAAGAATGTATGCATTTCTTGATATAATGCAAATGCTGGTGATTTTACTAAATTCTGCCACTGATATTTCCTGTGGCTGTTGTGTGCTTTGCCTTGCTCGCATTCTTGAATCTTGGCCTTCTTATATTGTTTAGAACATGTCCACATAATTGGGGTTTTGTTTTAACTACAAAGTTCTGATAATAATAAGTTGATAACCTAGAAAGGCTATTTGGACATGTTCAAGTTATTTGTAAAGAAAACAATTAGTTATGAAGTGCATCATTTTGAGGGAAGATATATCGATTAGTCATGAAGTAAATCCTTTTGAAGGAGGCTATAAGTGATTATCCTTTTCATTTATTTGGCCATCTATTTTTCCTAATGGATAGAACTTTTGCTGCTTTATTGGACTTTTAGTTAGCCCTTTGAAACTTTATCTTTTTTAAACATGCTCTTATCATTTTAATATGTCATTTTGCAGCTGATAATGCTATTTAAATTAGATCATCCTGTACTTTTATTTCATCAACTTAAGCATTACTTTTTGTTTTTGATAAGTATCACTTGAGAATTACTCCTATGTTTGGTTTTGATGGTTGTGGCCTACCGAAAGTTATTTCTCACTAATTTATCTCAACAGTGTATCTTTTGTCTTGCCAACTGTGTGAATGTTTTCTTGGCATTTCTTAGGTAGTCGTGGAAGGGGAAAAAAGGAGATATGTAGCATCTGTTTGTGAAGAGTGTAAATACAAATATGTAGAGTGCATTCTGGTCCATGCAAATGCAAAGTTGGTTTAGTTTTGCATTGATAAATTTACTTTCTTGCCAAACGATTTTTAGTTGTAATGGGTGCAAACATGAATCCCGAGATTGAAAGCTCCCATTTTGGATGCAAGCATGCCTTGAAATTTGTGAAAGCTGTCACTTTCAGTAGATGAATGCATGCTTACCAGCAAAACTGAACCACCAGACTGCATATATGCACTGAACCAGCATTTGCACTCTTCCCAAAAACCAAACTCCTAACTAGGGGTGTAATCAAGTTGAGCTTTAGTTGAAGAGTTCGAGCTTGAGTTCGTTTAGAATTACAATAGAGTTTGAATTGAATTCAAATCTCAAGGTGTGTTTGATTAGTTATTCGAACTCGACCAATAAAATGTTTGGCTTGAAAGCTCGCGAATCTGGCTCGATTAATATATATATATATTATAGAATATGGAAATATATTTTTAATATACATGTATATTTTTATATTTTATAATATAACAAATTATTATATATTATAAAATATAAAAATATATTAGTTTTTTGAGATTTCAATCTGAACTTGAACTTATCAAATATTTAGTTGAACCGAACTTGAACTAGAAAATAAAGTTCAAATCAAACTTGAACTTGGACTCAAATATAGGAGTATTTTAGTTGAACTGAGCCAAGACATGCCAAAGTTCGGCTCAGCTTGGTTTGATTGCACCCCTACTCCTAACCATGCATCATAAATAATATATATATATATATATATATATATATATATATATATATATTTTTTTTTTGTGTATGTGCAGATATTGGGCGTCTTGGTATAGGTATTTGTTATGACATTCGATTCCAAGAACTAGCAGTGTTATATGCAGCAAGAGGTTTGTTCCATGTTTACCTCTTATTTTTGATATTGATTGTTGGTAATATCTACCTTGATGCTTCTAGTTGTTGATTAAATTTGTAGTTTAATAATACGGACCATGTGAGCAGAGCCTTATCCCAGGACCTCCATAGTAATGTAGTCATCATTTCATCAATATTGAATTTTTGGCCATCTTAGGTCTTAGGTTGCCTTGATCTTTGGTTAGTGGTTTGAAGATTAAATAATCTTAGGTTTTTTATCACAATATTAAGAATTTCTTTGTATTCTATGATCATTTTATTTCAGACAAACTGTCCAAACCCAATCACTTGACCTAACTGACTCAACCTTGGTTGCTTTAGGTTTGAGGCCAATTCAGTAGTTGGGTTAAGGCTTTGTTATATTTGGAGTTGGGTTATGTTTGAGGTTTGGTTGTGTTGGTCTTAGGTTGGTCTCTCCATTTCTATTTGGTTTTGTCTTCCTTGTGAGAGTCCAACTTTTTGGATTCTAATCATGTGGTAATTTCTGGTTACAAGGCTTAAAGTTAGTCTTTTCATCTGGTTGGATAGATTCCTTTACCAGGGGATTTATGGCCTTCAGATTTCTAATTAGAGATACAGAGGCTTTAGCTCCTATCTTGAGCATCTCATTCTTGTGAGTCCCTAGTTGGCTTAGGGACATTTTGATAACACATAACAGCTGAAGTGGCTGAACTGAATGACATTACTTTATCTTTTAGTCAGTGTTTTAAAAGCGCAAGGCGCAGGGGTCAATTTGCACCTGAGGCGAAAGGCGAGGCGTGCACCTTTTTAGGCAAGGCGCAAAAATAAAAAAGGCTAAAAAATAAAAAAAGCCAAAAAATTCAAAAAAACGCAAAAAAAAATAAACATAATGTTAATAAAAATATAAACTTTAATTTTAAAATAAATGTTTTAAAAAACCTATTATCTAATATTAAAATACATAATATAACATGTAAAGCATATTCAAATGAGAATTTAAAAATAAAATCAAATATATAAAACATTTTCAAGCATAGAAAACCCACAATCTCTTTTTTTCTCAATTGCATTACTTCAAGTGGCTAATGTGATGTAAAAGTACTAGTGAGGACCCATGCGATGCACGGGTTTTGTTGAGTGAAAGTGAAATAATGGAAATGCATAATAGTAAACACATTTTTTCTATTTTTCATTGTAACACTATGAACTAATATCACCATAGGCAAGGATTATAATGTTTAAATTATATAATTTATAATATATACAAAAAAACGAATGTATTTTAAATACACTCTGAACTAATTACATTTATTTCTTGAAGAGTATTGATAATTAGTACATATTTTCAAAAGGTAATTTTAATGGTTATATATATATATTTAATTTTTGGTAATTTATCATATTTATTAGAAATCATGTTAATCCATTTTTGGTAATTTCTTGGATAATTTTTGGTAATTATGACAAAATTATTGGTACTTTATTTTTGGTTATTTTCTTGGTTAATTTCTGTTCATTAAATGTAATTTTCTGCTATTTATAGCTTAAATTTAATTAAATATAATTACTTTTAATTACAATTTAAAATTTAAATATATTACTTATAGTTTCAAATATAATTTAAATAATATTGAAAATACAATTTAAATTATAACTTACATTAATTAACAATTTAAAAACTGTTAATTAACAAATTAATAAAAATATTAATATTTTTTAATAAATACAGTATTTTAATAAACACTATTAATTTATAAATACTGTAATCAATAATACTGCAATTATTGAAAATATTGTAAAATACAGTTAATTATTAATACTGTAATTTTTAAAAATATTATTAATAAAAATACATTATTTTAATAAATAATGTTAATTATTTAAAATACTGTAATTAATGTTGTAATTATTAAAAGTACAGTTAATACTAATACTGTAATTATTTAATTACCGTTAATTAATAAATACTGTAATTGTTAATACTGTTTTTTAATAAATTATAACTTACATTATATTAATTAATAAATACATTATTTAATACTGGTTTTTGAATAAACACTGATAATTATTTAAAAAAGACTATAATTATTAAAAGTACTGTTAAATATTAAAAATATTATAACTATTATTAATACTGTAAATTTTAAAATACAGTAATTATTATTACTACTCCCTCCCTCCCTCCCTCTTTCTCTCTCTCTATCTCTCTCTCTCTCTCTTAAATGTCTTTTTTAAATGTAATAATAACATACATTAAAAAAAGAGGCCTTAGAAAATCCAAAGGTCTCTCTCTAATAGTGTGCAACTTTATTAATCTAAACAAGATAAGCAATGATTACATTTTTATATTTTTAAAACAAAAGAAAATAGGAAAAATGCAAAAAATTGAAAAAAATAGACAAATAGCTTCTCTCAAAAATTAATTTTAATGGTTATTTTTTTTTTAAATTTTTGGTGATTTGTCATATTTATTAGAAACCATGTTAATCGATTTTTGGTAATTTCTTGGATAATATTTGGTAATTATGACAAAATTATTGGTACTTTATTTTTGGTTATTTTCTTGGCTAATTTCTGTTCATTTAAATATAATACAGTTTAAAATTTAATTATATTACTTACAGTTTCAAATATTATTTAATAAACATTGTTAATTAATAAATACTGTAATTAATAATACTTCACTTATTGAAAATACTGTAAAATATGGGTAATTATTAATACTGTAATTATTAAAAATACTGTTAATAAAAGAATATTGTAATTATTAAAAGTACTATATTAATTAAAAATACCGTAATTATTAAAAATATTTTAATAATTAAAAGTACAGTTAATATTGTTAATTAATAAAATACTGTAATTATTTTATTACTGTTAATTAATAAATACTATAATTTTTAATACTTTTTTTAATAAATTATAACTTACATTGATTAATTAATAAATACATTACTTAATACTGTTTTTGAATAAATATTGATAATTATTTAAAAATACTATAATTATTAAAAATATTGTTAATTATTAAAAATATTGTAATTATTTATTAATACTGTAAAATTTAAAATACAGTAATTATTATTACTACTCCCCGTCCCTCCCCTCCCTCTCTCTCTCTCTCTCTCTCTTAAATGCCGTTTTTAAATGTAATAATAACATGCATTAAAATAATAAGCCTTGGAAAACCCAAAGGTCTGTCTCTCTAATAGTGTGCAGCTTTATTAATCTAATCAAGATAAGCAATGATTACTTTTTTATATTTTTAAAACAAAAGAAAATAGGAAAATACAAAAAAATTGAGAAAATAGATAAATAGGGTCTCTCAAAGGAGAGACTTGCTGACATGGACCGTCCAATTTTATTATATATATGTAGATTACATTCCTGATTCTATGAGCTGCCTTTGTACCACGCCCTTCGAGGCAAGCCCAAACAAGTCCACATTAGGTCTTAAATTCTTAGTTCTCACACAAAAAACAATGATTTTATAGTTTTAATTTCTTTTTAAGAAGGCATTTTATTAGGATGAATGAATGAACAACATCCGTGGACTTGTTTGGGCTTTTCTTGAGGGGTGTGGCATTGGGGTCTGGGGGCGGAGCCCCCGGCCCAGCCACTAGACACAAAAAAAGCAAAAAAGCGTCAAAGTTTCAAAGGTGCACGCCTGGGCTGTGGCGCAAGGCACACCAGGCATGCGCCTTTTGAGAGGGCTGCGTCTAGGACCTGAGTGAGGCACCTACCCTAAAATGCACCTCGCCTGTGCGCCTAGGCGCGCATTTTAAAACACTGCTTTTAGTAAGTTATTAAGTAGGTTTTGAACTCCTTAGTTATTATATCCACTAAAGACAAATCATTAAGTCATTCAATTCAGCCACTTAAACTACGATCAAACAGTCCCTGATACTGTACTCGGCTCACTTGCAAGCCAAGTGGTAGGAAGGTTGGTACTGCCTTTTCTGTATTTTAAAATCCAAAAATTGGTATACTGTGTGTTTAAAAACTTGATAATAATATACTATTTGCTAGAAAATGATATTATTAACTTGAAATTGGTTGAAGTCAGTGAAATATGAATCTTTCAGTGGTCTTGATACAATCATTGAGCACATAACATTACCACTGGACTTGTTACAAAAAAAGCTTATATATCTGTATCTTTTAGGACATTATGCTGGGGAATTTTTGGTTCGCTGATTTGCTCTCCATGCCTCACTTTTATGTTACATGTTCTCTAAAGCAAATTATGTTTAAATGAGACAACATGAAGATGGTTTTACTTACATAGGGGTATGGAATTTCTACTACTTTTGGAGGTTTGCATGTAAGATGGTACTACTTGTCTTGTTGTTTTGCTCCACTAAATTGATCATCATATGTTATTACTTTGATGTTCACTGATTCTCTAATTCATCTCAATTTACTACTGATTGGGAGTATGACCATTTGGATATCAGGGGCTCACTTGTTATGTTATCCTGGAGCTTTTAACATGACCACTGGTCCCTTGCATTGGGAATTGTTACAGAGGGCAAGGTAATGGCATGACATAACGCATATTTGTATGTTTTGGAAATTAAAAAGATGGACTGAAGCAATGATTACGGAAAATTTTGACTGCTAAGTTCATGGCCCGTAGGAATGACTTATGTACAACAATGAGAAGCATGCATGTTGATCATTAATGCTGAACACTTTATAAGTTCTTGTACATGTTTCAAGATTTCAATAAGGAACATGTTTCACTTGTGGAGTGGATACCATTGGTTTTGTTTCAAAAGGTTAAATGCCTAAAAGGCTAGAACTTACTTTGACTCGTAAAACATTCAAGAAGTTTCTGATCCCTGTCCTAATAAGTGATAACATTAAGGAGCTCAGACAAAATAGGAGTCAATTAACAAACAAAGCTTCAAAGGCAACGTAGAAAGGATTCTAAACAGCTTCTAGGACTAAGCTAACTTCATGGTCTTGGGCTAATTGACTGTTGAGTATATGATTGAATAAGCTTGTTAACTGTACAAGAATCAAGGTAAAGGCTTGACATGGCATATAAAACAGAGCCCATGGGTGATTCTCTTACAACTATCTTCAAATTTTTAAGTTGTGTTAGGGTTCAATTAAATGGTTAGTGATCCATTATGGGTCTTCTTGACCAGTAAGTTGAATCATGGGTTGTTTTGTGTCCAAACCACTTCCTTTGTGACAGTAGAAATCACTGATTGCAGATTTAGTTGAATTCCTTGTGAAGGGAAAGAAGAAGAAGATGAAGATTTCAACAGTAGAGAAGAAAAGAGTAGGAAGTCAACCAGGATTCTTAGATTAACTCTAGCCGCCAACCCCTCATTATAATTTATACTTAACTTAAAGGATGAGATATTACAGGAATGCCCTTAGTAGGGCGGCTACTAAAGTAGCTGAACAGTCACAACTTAAAAACATAAACTAATGGGCCTAAAGCCCAACAACTTCCTAACTAAATAACTTAAAATAAGAATAAAAACAACTAGGCCCAACTCAACAGTGACATCATGATTGTATGGAAAGAGGAGACTCAACTTTGCCATTCAAATGAGATATCGTTAATAAAAGGTCATTATTGTTCCATCAAGGCCTCAACTTAATTTGCTTGAGTTTAGTTCCCATATGGAAGAAACTGGTGCAATTTGAATGGTAAAACATAGGAATCTATGGTTCCTTGTAGAAACATGGGAAAGAAGAATGGGAAGAGTAATTTTTTCCTTGTTTGATAAAAAGAACTAGGTTGTTGTCTACCCTTGGAATGCAAATTGCCTTTTTTTTATTATTCTGTTCAAAGATTTTTTAGAATTTTTTTTGATCAATAAAGATTATTTAGAAAATTCAGCCATAATATGCATATTATGTGAGAAATATGCATGTTTTTTAAAAGGGTTAAAACTTTTACTTGTGAACCAAGGCAACAAAGAAAACCTCTAATTTGCTTTCTAGAAGTACTTGGTAAAAAATGAGATGGTTCAATATTCTAATGTACTTATTATAGAATATATGTGTTTCTTGGTTGCTAATCCTAATCACAGGAAGTATATCTTTTTATATATTGTAGCATATTGTGTGAGAGAGTTTGGGTGGCTTGGCATATTCCTCATTTTATTACATTAATAGGATTTAATGTTTCAAATAAAAAAAGGAAACAATCAAATATTCTGGAAAAAGACTTACTTTTGATTCTTGAGTTGCTTCTGATGGAATTTGCAGTTGTATCTTTAACTTTCGCTTTCCGGTAGTGCAGTTGCACTTGTTATTTTATTTATTTAATGTTTTGGATCTCTATTCATATATTTATTCATTGTCGAAGGAGTATGAGCTTATCCAATTCATAGCTTTTCTAGGACTGAAGTTATTTTATAATTTATATATTATTACTGATATGAGTTTTCATGTCTCCATCTGCAGGGCTGCAGATAATCAGGTACTTCTAAAAACTGTTTTTGTTCCTCTGTTTAGCGGAAGTGCTTATTGTGTAATTAGATTTGGTCATCTGTAATTGCTGTTAAAAAAATTTAAACCCTTGTGATGAATAGAGGTGGTAAGGTTCTGATAGTTATGATCCTATTTGTTTTATCTCACTTGAGTGAGTTGCACTAAACCTGTTCCTCCAATTCTTTCTAATGCCATAATCTTTTGTCAATGAAAGAGCTTTATGAGAAAACATGAGAAAAGCTGTATGGTGAGTATGAGCTTCATATAACACATGGGCTTTGGACTCAGGATTCCATTTCTCCATTTCCTGCTTTCAGCCACTGTTCTAAAACCTGAATAGAAGAGCAATATTGTCCGGGTTGGATTGTAGTTGAGATATCATGTCTTTTCAAGTTCTCTAGTTCCGTAACCGCTTCTAAATAATCAAACTGTGATTTGAAGATTAGAAACTTAACAGCTTGTTGCATATTCTGTCCATGCCTTATCCGTACTATATGGGGTTGGCTACATGAGTCTTGTTTCTCCAATCCATTATATTTAAAGCCATATCCACTGTTAAATTATTAGTTCTTAAACAAATTCTTACTACTTCTACCCATGCTCCTTTTGGTCTACACCTACCTCTTCTTGCCCCTTCCGGGTGCAACAAATCACTTCTTCTAACTGGAGCTATTGGTGGTCTTCTATGCACATGGGCAAACCATCTTAGTCTACTTTCTCTCATTTTATCAGTTATTGAAGCTACTTCTAGGTTTTTACGGATGGCTGCATTCATGATCCTATCCTTTCTATTTTTTTTTTCACTCATCCATCTTAACACTCACATTTCTCCCACACTCGTTTTCTGATCATGTTGTTTCTTGACTGCCCAACACTCTACTCCATACAACATAACTGGCCTTACAACTGTTTTATAGAATTTTCCTTTTAATCTAAGTGGTATTTGACTATAAACAAAAGTCCAGATGCACCCCTCCATTTTGTCCAATCTACTCTAATTCTTTTGGCGACATTCTCCTCAATCTCTCCCTTGTTATGGATTATTGAACCAATGTACCAACAATGGTCACATTGAGTTATCTCTTTGTCTTCAATCGTAAGTGTATCTTGATTTCTGCTTCTATTATTACTAAATTTACATGTCATATACTCTGTTTTGGACCTACTTATTTTAAAACCTCTTGTTTCTAAGGCATTGGTCCATAAGCTTATCTTTGCATTTAATTCTTCATTAGTTTCATTAATTAAAACAATGTTGTTTGCAAACAACATGCACATGGAACTTCTTCCTGAATCCTGAATATGTTTAGTCAATTCATTTATGATCAGTGCTTAACTTATAAATGGATGCACTACTGAATTTCTATTTCAAAATTCCCATGTAAGCAATATATGTTTTTTTTAACTTTTATTCCCCTTATTTCTTTAATGAAAAGAATCAATGTTCTTTCCTATGATTTTTTGTTCTATATGCTTCTAAATTCATATCTTTCAATTTTAATTATTTAAAAAATATTCAAATTCTTTTACTTTGATTACCTTGCTTAGTCTGAATCTGTTAATACTGTTCTTGAGCATTTTTGCAGGTGGTAACTTGATAAAATTTACAAGAATCTTGTTCTTTCTGTTTCTTAGATGATCGAAGTTCAATGACCTTTTAAGATAAAAAAAAAAATCATGTTTGTATTTTCTTATGAATGGATTAACTAATCGCTTCCAGTTCCTCTGAGTGATGCTCTTAACCAGTTTTCATTGTATAATGTCAGTTGTATGTTGCTACTTGTTCACCTGCTCGAGATGTTGGTGCTGGTTATGTTGCTTGGGGACACTCAACCCTTGTTGGACCAGTAAGTAGAAAAATTAACTCGAAGGGCTTCAAAGTGATGCCAATCATCTTGAGACTTTGCAAGTTTGTAGATATTATGCTTGTTTTAATATGTTTCTGAAGTGCAATAATCAAATATTCCAGTTTGGAGAAGTACTTGCAACTACAGAACATGATGAAGCCATTGTCATAGCAGAAGTTGATTATTCATTAATTGAAGCCAGAAGGTGAGGCACTTACTAGCCTAGAGTATAATTATAACTTCCTTCTAACTCCTCCCATTCCTTCAACGGTAACTTGTTTGTTCTTTTATCATCGTTTTATACTTGCAGAACAAGCCTTCCACTTGAGAGGCAAAAACGAGGTGATCTGTACCAGTTGGTAGATGTTGAGAGGCTGAATTCACAATCAACCAAGTAAACAAAATTTTCAGCAAATAAGGGAGTTAAAAGGAAGTACTAGAGTGGAGAAGGGTGGTTGAAACTTGAAAGGTATTGATTTCGACACAAGAACAGCTGTTGGGCTTCGTTAGATTAGAAATGCTGGGAAGTGGGAAAAACAGGTAGCTTATGTAGATCTTTCCTGAGTTCTATCTCCTTGTTTACCTGTTTTTGTCGTCTAAGATCCTGATGACATAATACTGTTTCACAAGGTCACAAAGCTGTTTTTTGTTTTTTTGTTTTTTTATTCTACCTTCTTAACATATTTGAAATGTTTCATTAATAAAATGAAATACATTAGTTAACAATCCAAGTTTCCAATGCTATGACTACCCAATCACATTGAGCCATATCACCCATGTCCCCATTCTGTCCCCACTCTCTTATAATGTGAAGTTCAAGATCGGATTCGGTTCTAGCTGTGAGGATGGTGTGAGCGTGGTCTTCTGAGGACTGAATCCAAGTTCCTGGAGTTCGAGGTTATTTCCGAAACGGGCAATGCCGCTGAATTTGATTGGGCAGGCCGAAGTGAGCTTCTAAGGAAAGAGAGGAAAAATCAAAAGCCTCCCACCATTATGCTGTTAAAACTTTTCTCTCATCATTGGATTGAGCCATGCGGAGTTTCAGGGAATAACTGAGTCATGTATTGGGATCAAAATCTGCTGCTGCTATTTCCTAGTTGCCATTTTGGGGCTGGCTAAATTGGTGAGCAGCATGTCAGAAAGAATTCAAAGAAATGCAGTACTTTTTCTTAACCCAGGTCCCAGGTTACTAAGGTGGAGTGGAAAAGGGCAAGAACCAATTCAAATTATCCTCTTCGGGATCAGCACCGGCTTAACTCCGGTACCAATGAACATCAATGTTTTCTTGCGCACGGGATGCATAGATTGCTTTATGAAGTTTGGTACCAATGAACATCAATGAGAAATGAGTTTATAAATTGTAACATTGATCGAATTCTTAGTGATTTTTTTGGTGATATTTGAAATTTGATAAATTGCTTCGTGAATTAGAAGCTTTTATCTGCAAATTGGATTCAGCTTCTTTATTTTTCTTTACCTGATCTTCTCGCGTTTGTTTTTTATTTATATATTTCCGGTGGTGTAGGAAATTTGGAACGGAATCGAGAGAGAGATGAAACACATTCAATTCGGTTTCTTCTGTAAAGAAGCAATAGAATAACACATGCTTGGAATGATCGAATTTGTTCCCCTTCTCCCTTCCTAACTTTTGTTAACCAAGGTTTGATGACACCTCCTGTGATGCGTCGAGGCAGCACAAGATGAGGACTCCATGTATTGCATAGTTTGTAGTCGGGCCAATGAGTTATGATATCTTGGGCTCATCTGAGTCTGAGGTTGAACGGTTTGATGGGATCCGTGATCAGTAGTAAAGTGTAGTTGGAGACGGAGACTCAACTTCATACTTCGCAAATGAACACTATAATAGTTGTTACTTCTTACTGAGCAAAAAGCTCAACCTGAACTGGAAAAAGTCGATCAGGCGAAGAAATGAAGTGACCTTCCTTAGGATGATACATGGTGCATTACTGTAAGGGGAGATATGGGAGGAATCTCTTGATTCAGTGTTTACTAATACTGATAGCCCAGAAGTAACAGAAACCATTGCTGTGAAATTAATCTTGCAAACTAAGGCCTCGGTCAGTGTGCTTATTGATGCCCAGCCAATTGGTGATTAATTGAATTGGAATCCTCTCCTCACAAAGTGTGCCTTACACCGATCTCAAAGCCACATCCCACTCTGTATTGGGAATATCTTCTTATGAATAATAAGTACAAGTAGAAGAGATGTTCTCGATGTGCGGCCGAAACAAGACTGGATCTGCTCCTTACACCTCGTGCCTCACAAGCACATCTGGTCATGCATTGGGAACATCTCCTGTACTTATTAGTTATTATTCACGGGAGATGTTTCCAATGCACGGTGGATGTGCCCGTGAGACGCTCATTTGTGAGGAACAGATCCCATCATGGTCAGAACATGTTATGAGGTCGGTGTGAGGCGTGCCTTGTGAAGAGCCAGATCCGGACTCTGATAGGGTAATGCAATAAAAAAAATAATAATAATAATAATAAGAGGTGTTGTACATTAAAGTAGATCATAAACGTGGACATGTGGGCCCCGTTGCTTAGTTGCCACGTGTGTATATTCGAGACAAACCAATTAACCAAGTAACCAATATGCATCGTCGGAATCGGAAGAGACGAAGGGGTTGGATTGTGGGTGAGTGGGATTCCAATTCCATCATAGGATTTGCTTTCTCAGATAGCGTACGTAGTAGCGAGGGCCGAGGGCCCCTCTTGAGTCTTGACCTCTTCTGCGCCATAGAGAGACATGAGAAAGAGATTCTTATGCAATGCACGTGATAAGCGGGGGGGG